AGATTTATGACCAGTAGTTTTGTGGTGTTGGAATAAACGGACGAGAGCATTGAAAAATACAGTATTAAAGGTGACCAGGCACAGGAAAGAAGAAGTGAAAGAATAAACCATAAGTATTACCAAAAACTTAGAGAGGTCTTGGACAAAGGAAGTAATAAAATTACCAATATAAATGGAATACTCTGTTGAAGGATTTGAAGGAGATAACTAGAAAGTTATAGAAGAGTCTAGAAGAATGTGATAAGAAATTTGAAGAAATATTAAAAGCTTGAAATAGATTTAGTAAACGCAATTAAAAATTCCACGAGAAAATTAAAGGGATGATCGAGGACCTGCCAAAAAGTTGGAGAGTCACTAAAAATACTTTATAGGACAAAAACAAAATATGCAGGATAACTATGAAGTTCAGAAGTCTTTTTGAAGTCATGAACATATATAGGTGTATGGATGAATAAATTCATTTGTGTATGTGTATATATATTGGTGTGAATGTGTATAAATATATTTTAATTGGTATGTATATATGCATGATTATGTACGAGTAAATATATGTGTAGGTATATGTGTGTATATATATGTGTGTGTGTAGTTATATGTGTGGGTACGTATATTTCCACGTGTGTGGTGGTATATATATATTGTTATGTGTATGAGTATCTGTATGTGAATGTGCAAGTAATGTGGTTCATGAACATACTATTCACAGCCATCACAGCACCTGAATGAAGTTTGTGAGTCTGATTAGCTTGGTGTCATCCGGCATTAAATTTATGTATTTAATTACTTATAAAACAGAAGAGCTGCATAAACACCGACTATGAAATCTTAACACTTGTTCCTAGGCCTTCGTATAGGCGACCTGCAACATAGATAAAATGTGTTTGTAATTAAAAGTGGAAGAGAAATATGTGAAAATCCTTTTTATGATATCCAAATTATATGTCAGTATTTGGTGTTTTCTGTACAACATGTTATGCGCCACACGGACTAAACGGTTAGATCAGAGACCTCGAGATTCAAGCATAGCTGTCTATAATTTAAAAATGTTGATCAAAGCAAGATAAATAAGTCTGATAACCATCAGCGCTTGAATTATAATAATAGAAAAGGTTTGGAAGAATAAAGTGACCATTTGTGTGCGTTTCTTACATGAATTCAGCTATTCTTTCAACGTCTCTCACCTTGTTTAGTCAGAATAATTAACTTACACAAATCCCCCTTTTTATATGATAATGTGTTATAATATTTACAACTGTAGATTGTACTTGTACAAGTACCTATAAAGACAGATTTTCATATCTTAATATTCTAATTACGAATACAAGTTAATGAAGTTGTAAATTGCTTATATCAAGCTGAAGAGCAGCTGTCTCTCCATAAAATTGTATTTAATCATGTATATATATATATATATATTTATTTAGGAATTTTACAGTACTCTTTATTTATATGCTTATTGTTAAGCACAAAGCTACACAGTGGACTATCTGTGCTGTGCCTCTCACGGATATCCAAACTCGATTTTGTTTTGCGATATAAACCCTTATATTTACTGCTGAGATTTCCGGGGCTACTCCAACACAGAAGTAAAGAAACTTGAAAATCGAAACGTTGGAAAAAATTGTGAAATATAAGAAAAAAAATATCCATTCCAAAATTGACTTTATTACTGGAATCTGTGTAGTATAAAATCAACTTTGCATTAGGAACCAGATAAAGGACATAAATCAAAGAGTGGACCTCTTACAGAAACACTTGACTAACTACAATCAGATTACCAATATTTTTGTCTCTGTCAATAACTGTATCGTTTCAAAATCTGTATATGAAATATAGTATGCGTTTCCTATAATAGTTAAATAATTAAATAATAGTTCAATAACTGAACGTAATGCAGACTAGCAAGTTTTTTGGTTGGTTTTATAAAACCATTCACCACTAACGAATACTCAGCTAAAAATAGTTTTGACAGCTCTGAGCAAATCAGAAATCCAAATTTCTTTTAACCCATATACAGTACAAGTTTTGAAATAGGACAGTTATATACAAGTGGTCCATTAAAATATGTAATTGTTCTATGTGTTAATTTGATATACGAGAATTTTGAAGTTATACATGATTTAACTAAAGCTGTAATTCTTTTTACGTAATTCTTATGCAGTTTAGGAATAGCATATTAAAATGGTAAATTATAGCAGTTTGTGTATATATATTCCATTTTTAATGACTTTTTTATATTAGTAACGCTAGTATCTTTCTTTAAAGTTTTTGTAAAAGTATTTGATATATTGATTTCGTTAATTAAAATTTGAACGTATAATTCTTTTACATATAAAGCCGAAATTACATTCAGCTTTATCAATAAGTGTAATAATAATAAATTTATCTAGAACTTTTTTTTTGAAGACATTAAAGGACAAGTCTATTTTTATATCTAGATAAATTTAATGTTCGTAATGAGTTTTAATGCATTTAATAATATCTAGTTTCTTACTTATTTTAATAATATAGTTATCAATAGTATTTTCTAGATTCTTTAAGATCCCAGATTTATTTGTCTTTTTTCAAAATTCGAAATTTACTACCATTTTTTAAAATTAATTTTAATTCATTATCTTCTATTACTTCTAAATTGCCTGTTGCTGTATGATTATAAAAAGTGTCCTTAAATACATTGTTAATATAAATACAGAGTAAATTATCTATTTCTGGAGGATTAAATTCTTCAATGAATTTTTTATAATTAAAAAAGAGGTCAAATAGGTTTGTTATATTTAAAACTAATTGTAGATTATAATGAGTTTAAAGGAAAAATATTTTATTGAACACTTTTACGAATAAGGTACGGTAAAGATAAATCATCATATATTTTATGTTTAAAATCTATTACAAAATAAGATTTTTCTTTTTTGCTTTCTGAAAGGTTATTCGGAACTTGATTTAATTTTAATTTTATTAGATCAATAATCAAATCTTTTATATGAATATTATTAAAATCATTTTTAATTCAAATAACTGTTTATTTATGAATTTTATTAAATTATCAATATCGATCCATTTACTATTACTTTTACCTTTACCTCTAAATTTATTATGCTTAAAATTACAGATTTGAATTTGAAATAAAGTTTTTATACAAATATTTTTACTTAATGTCTCAGCATTTTTATATTGAAAGTCCTAATTTAGTCCGTAGGGATAAAGATTTTTTTCTTTTAAAATATAATATTCTTCTTTCTTTGTTAATAACTTTATGTTAAATATTTTTTTTTCTAAAAGGGTTATTCTAGCTTTATTGACCGAGTGTTTATTGAATGATCTATTTCTATTGTATGAGGAAAACTCATTTTAGTTTTTGATCTATGCAGATTAATCCTGAGATGTAAAGGATTAGATGTTTGCCCTACATATTTAAGATCACATATACCACAAGTTAAAAGATAAATAACATTTTACAAAGTGATATATCTTGTCGTACATTTTAAAACTCCATGGCGGCCAGACAAATTAAACATCTAGAACTGTTGCAAGTAAACTTTTCTTGAATATGAGTGGTCAGTTCGAAAACAGACAAATAGCTAGCCAAGCTATTAGTCAGTATACAACAAAGATGAAATCATAATTAGAAAAAGAGAAAAGGGCGACAAAATCAGCACCTTTAAATCATTTACCGATAATGTAAATAAATAGATAAATAGCTCAATAATTATCAATTACAATTATTGTTAAAAAGCGATATATATAGATTAGATGGGGATCCGACCACCTTTATGACCTTACTCGTGTTAACCTGTATCACTGTGTCAAGTTATGCTGTTTTGGTAGTTTTTCCAGAATTAGAGGGGGTCAAGCTCCCCACATGGAATTTTGACCACTCCATGTTACTTCTGAGGACAGTAGGAGTCACCATACCAAGTTTGGTGGAGATTGGTCAAACAGTGTTCGAGGAGTTAGCGGAGAGACAAGTATACAATTTCGCTTTTATATATAGATATATAGATTTCGGGGTTTTCTCTTTGGACTGTTTTCTTGGTTTTAGCTCTGTTAGTCTGCTAAGTTGAAGAAGTGCGCTTTAACTTGGGCATTTGCAAAATTAAAATGTGCTGCGACTAAAACATGCGGGTTATTATATAGTTGTAGTCAGGGTTCCAATTGGACGAAATTTGGTGATGTTGCATCAATGTGTCTTCATGACAACCAAGCAAACGTAATGGAGAATATCGGCCAATTATGGGGCGCGCTTGTATCCAATTCTATTTTATTACTCATCATGATTTCTACCAACCTATCAAATCTAATCTAACTATTATGTGCCCATAGTTATCGGCATGACAGATGGACAGACAAAATTTTGACCCATCCGCGTTACTTCTGGGGACCGTAGGAGTCACCATGCCAAGTTTGGTGGAGATTGGTCAAATAGTATGCGAGGAGTTAGCGGACAAACATACAACATGTATATATATAGATTATCTGTTTACTGTAATATCGTACAAAACCCAAATAGGAAAATATATCCTCTTTGATCTTTCTCAACTATCATTGAAAAATTTTTTCCAGTAATTTATCTGAAAAATTCAAATGCTTCAACTGAACATTTTGTGACCTATTCAACAATAAAAATTTCCAAAACAACTATTTAGAAAACATTTTTGTGGAATAGTTCATGTAATATTTCGAAAATTTTGTTAGTTTGTAAGGTTTTTTCTTACGTATGTGTATGTGGCCTAGTAGTTATCATGTCAACCTATAAATCTAAGGGTCCATGGTTCGCGTTCGGTTATAGTTTTTGTTTATTTTTCTTGATCAAAGATCGAATTAGCCAGTGTGTTAATGCAAGTTATGCAACTAATACGATTTTTAGAAAAATTTTGTTATTTGTTATCTCATATAAGAGTTCTTAGTCGTAAAAATATAATAATATATTACAATATATTTTAAATTATCCATTAAAATTATTCAACTATGCTGTTTTACTTAATTAACTTTTGTTTACGCAGACAACTGCTTTATGAAATTATCCTTTCATAATGCCTCAAGATCGTCGACCTTCAGTACCTTTAATACGTTGTAAGATCATGCGAAAGAACAAATACCTTGATGGATTACTAATGGCAGGACCTTTCATTATATGTTTTGTTCTATTTGGGACTATGAACCTGATTGCTGGAACATTTCTAACTTTAATGGCCTATAAATCTCGCTTACCGATGGTGAGTTCTACCTACAGCGAAGATTTTCTAAAATCTTACAGTGAAAAAATGGAACATTTATTCGACCCGCTGAAAATTGTTGGACCTATACTTCTTGTCACTGGTTTCATGTTGCTGGTTATAGGACTTCTGCTGGGAACCATAGCGTGTAAATCATCTGTCCACGCCGCTTGGAAGGAACCACGTCTGTCACCTTTGTCTTGTTTTCAACTCTCACACATGAATGATTCTCAGAGGTTAAGACTACAGGTAACCAGCAACACAAAACGAAAATCAAGTCTGTGTCCAACACAGAAACAAGTCTCAAGACTGAACCCAGCCTTTCTGACGACTCTTGACGTCACTGCTGATGTACATATTTCACCTTGTACTTCGAGAACTGACAAGATAAACTCCAAAGCTCCACCAGAGGATATAACTCACGATGTTATGGCCCATGATACAGCTGGTTCTAATATTGAGAAGATCAATCACTGACTTAAATATTACTATATGATTAACAACGTTGTTAATTTCATTCTTTGTATCTGTACTGACTTCACTATCTGTGCTTCTGTGTTAATATTTTGTGAAACCATTATGTGTGTATATTAAATATTTTTCACCTTGTACATTAAATGTATAGAATAAGTTAAACTTGTACGACAAAGGTTTTTGGTTTGGTATGTATGTAAGATCACGAAATTTAGAGTTTATTTATAACAAAAAGTTTTGATTTTGTGCAAAATCTTGTATTTCTATATTGAACTTTTGTACATTTGAGTTCACAAAAGTTACAAAAATATTTATGATCCTAAACATTAACAATTAACCTTAGTCTGACTGGAGGTGAACATATTATGTGTTGTTAATAGCCTTAATGACCTTAAAGCTAAAAAAACCACTCTTTTAGCTTTCAATTTACTTGGTCTCTGCATTTTAAAAATACCATTATTGTGCTAAAACTTTAGTATATTTCAGTTTCGCCTAACATAATAATGGAGTTTGAGTTTTACAAATTAAACAACAATGAAGCTGTTAACAAATTTGATGGAAGTCAGTATTGTTTACTTTTAACTTTAACAGTACTTAACATTTCTTATATGTTTAAATGTATATTCCCTGTTCGTTTCAGTAAATTTAAGGTATTTAAGCTATTTTATGTTTAAATAATAACATATTTATGGCTTATTGTATCCAATACAAATAGATTGTTTTGTGCTTAATGTGAAGGGTGTGATCCTACTATTCAGTTTCCTTTCTTTATTTCTTGAATATCTCATTCACATTGTGATAACAGAAAGAGGATGAAGTCATGACAAGACCAACATGTTGCGTTATCATTCGATCTTATCACTCGTCATTTCTTAACAACCATAAAGATTGCCAGATTAAGCTAATTGTACAACCACGTTAAGAAATAGTCGAATGTATTGCATCTAGTATCCCACCATATCATCATATAATCCATTTCCTGTAATTATGACTCTGAAATAACAACAACAAAAATACTTTCTTTAAGATCAAACCTAACAACTGTATGATAAAAATTAAACTATTTCATATTTTGTTCTCAGTTTTGCGCATAAGGGATTTCAAATGTGAGAGTTGTTTGATGAGTTTCAAACCAATCATTTTGGGGAGTTCTTGCCACTTGTTCTATTTTATAGAAAATTCTCTTCTTTGTGTCTAACATGAGCTTCAAAATTTTGACATTCCCCAAATATTATTGGACTATATTATTGATTTTCTACAGAAATTTAACAGCATTATGTTTTCTAGATAAAGATTTGTCCTAAAGTACTCATGTGTGAAAAAAAAAAGATTTTGTTTAACCATTCAATTATAATCACAGCTCCGTTTAAGAACAATCAAATCTTTTTAAAGAACATGTCATAAACGAGTGTTTTGCTGCTTATAATGAAAAAAGTTTTAATATCTAAAATTACCTTCGGAATAAATATCGTCATTTAATCCAATATTTGCTCCTTTGCAAATTTTTCAAATGGTTAAGTCAAGATTTAATCTAAGTTTTATATTTAAAATGGAGAGTTATGAATATTGCAACTTGATTAAACTCATAATTCTGTTTACTCGAAAAAAGTTTAGAATACATAATTTACATGGTTTGATGAATAAAGATGACTGATTGAACTTATAAGGTTGGTTCAAGTGCTTTACATGTCTCACATGACTGGACACGTAGAGAAGAAATTAGCCTTTTCTTTAAATAAAATGTATAGTAATGCAAACACGTATTTGGTTTGGTTGCATAAAATCAATTCATATGCTTTTTCCGAACTTTATACAAAACATTACATTTATTCTGAATACCATTACGTAACAACTGTTTTGTAACAACTGTTTTTAATGTAACATATTATCCATTTGCTGAATTCCCAGATATGAAAATTTTCTTGAGTTGTGAATTGTCCAAACACACAACAATAATTAAAAAACATTGCATATTCGAGAACATACCTTAAGTATAAAGAATGTAATATTTGTTTTTCATGTTGTGATATGGCATAAGGACTTGTAATACATACTGCGTAAGTGGAAAGAAAAAAAGCGTATGTGTCTACTACGTCTGAATAACGTATATAGTATTTTAAAATGTTGTATGAAGTGACTAAATACAGTTTACACTGATCAACTAAACAAGCAAGTATTTGATCAACTATTTGAGTGAACAATAAATACTCCTTTAGTTTAAATTATAGAATTGAAGATTGACGCTGATATATGTGAAAACATATGAAGAAAATGTGAAATAACAGGAAAATATAATCTATATTTCACGAAAATCTTGTTTGTACGGTACAGAACATTTTTGGAAAATTAATTTTGTTTTTTACATTTTCAAAAATAATAACATATGTGTTTACCATGTTCAAAATAAGCTATAAGTATAAATAAATATGCAGAATATAATTCAAACTTTAAATCTCATAGTGTAGTCTAACATAAATTCAGTATATATAATACGTAAATACACAAATTGTCTGAGACAATAAAAATGTAAGGCACTTGAAGGAACTTTTCAAACATTTGACTTTGATTTATTATGAAATACAAAATCAGGACATACTTAATAGACAAGAGTGCAAACTTAGACTTGTTAATTTTATATGGAATATGGTATGAGTAAAATCTACCCCTACCTTCTTTCAATTACGACCGTCGTCACATGTATTCTTACACAAACATAGTGTGTGAGGTGAAAAGAATCAACAGTGCTTCTATTTGTAAGTGACTTCTGAAACAGTTTAATTATGTGACATAAAATGGTTCTACTGGAAAGTCACTAAGTATCGTAAATTTTGAATGTGTGATATGAAATATTAATATCTTAACAGAAAAGTTAAACTGACCAGATACCTTAACAATTTGTTTCTGTGGGATTCAAAATGTTCTACATAAAAACATAGCATTTTGTTAAAATAGAATATGAAATATTCGATCACACAGTACTATTTTGACAAAAAAAGTGAAAATAGTGAAAGCATACAGGACACTTACATTTATAAACGACAAGGTATTCCTGTATTTTATTGGTTTTTTCCTTGAATGGAGAGGAGTTTCTTAGTAGAAAGGAGTTCTACAGCTTCATTTAAGGTGTATTTAAGGATAAGTCTTATTAAATAATGTTACAATTTTATACCTTAATAACAAGGATTTACTTCATCGATAAAATAACGTGATAGTTATCGAACGTTTATCAACTGTCTGAACAGGAAAACATTATTTGATTCACGAGGTATTTGTTTGATATTTTCATCTATAACTGTAATTACAAAACTATTCTGTTTTCCATTCCTTAATACAGATTATTTTCATCGACCTTATAATTAACCAGTAGTGATTTAGTGTTATATGTAAACTAATAATGTAAATAGCTGGTAGCTCTATTACATATTCCTATATGTTTTGTTTTTCAGTGAAATACTTATGGAATTAACGCATAATTTATCGGGTATATATGTATACACTAACCATGTGATACGCCATACACACTGAGGTATTTTAATGATTTGTGGATAAACGTTTCTAACATAATTGTGTGTCTAGCGTTATTATGGATTTTATCATTTCTGATGTTCCACTACTTTAATGTAAACAACCACTTTTGATAACAATAACAAAATATTATTTCAAGAATTAAAACTATTCAACTAGTGCATTGGACTGATAATTGTTAAGTACTTCACATGTGTGTCATTCTATGTTGTATAGTTTTTTTTTTATTATTAGACTTAGATTCCCTACGGGTTTCTCTATGTTTAAATCAATACACATAAAATGTATGTATTTAGGGGTTTGAATTTTCCAGGATATCTAAGAAGGCACTCTTCAAATATCATAATAACTCATTAGACCAAAATTTCTTAAGAACTAGACTTGCAAAAATAGAGCTAAATTTGATAATACGTCACTAGGATAGTGAAACGAGATATGTTGAGTTGGAGTCCTCCTTTATCATATCTAATTTTACTATCCTCTGGAAGGCCAATACTGATTTAAAATTATTGATCAAGGAAACCCTCCACATCAAACAGCATTGTCCGACCCTAAATAACACACAGTATTAATTTAAATTACATATTTTTAATTATGTATAATAGTATTGATGTTACTTCTAATTTTGGTATATTTTTTTCTTCTAAGTTCTTCTCTTACCCACTTTTATGCGTTTTTCTGATTTAATTATTGTTAAATGTAACATTGTAATTTTAATTATGTCCAAGGAGTGATGTTAATATTTTATGACATGTTGCTATACATACTGAAAATGGAATCTCTAGAACTCCGAAACATTTATTTGTGCCCCCTTTCAAACTATATGAACAATGTTGTTTTTCATAAGTGTTGTAATCGTTTTTCTACCAAACTTTGTTTTCCTTCGAACACATCAATTGCTAATGTATTGGTACAAAGATATAAACATGATTTTCTACAAGTAGAATGTACCTGTAAAAAAATGGAACTTGAAAGCCAAGAAAACAACATTAACTTGGTAAATGAGTCTACAATTGTAGGTTTTTACATAATCTAGAAAACATCATTAATTTGTTAGATTATTAACTCAAAAACATAATACAGAAAGTTTTATCTAGAAGCGTGTACTTTGGAGCGACGCCTACAAAACTATATCTAATGAGACTTTTCTACATCATTGGGATCCATACCAACTCTTCGTGGTCTCCATAACTACAATCAACACAAGAAACCCAATCCACTCAATAAGAATGAGATATGTGTTTTAAAACAATTAAAATTGTATAAGGATATAACAATTACTAAGTCTAACTAAGGTTTTGAAAACGTTACATTTCATGTTTACATCATGTACTTTTGCACGTGGTACAATATGGAATTTCTAGGTTCTTTTCCTTTTGGGTCTATGGCGATCACACATACACAGACACGCACGTGTCTGTCTGTGCTTTTTATTTGTAATATAAGGAACCACTTCTTTTCTATGTGGTTTTCGCTACCTTGCCTCATTAAAAAGATGTGCATGCACAAGTGCACACGCACGTGGATAAGATAAATAATAATAACCAGGTGTACTCTCTCAGGATC